ATGCAAAGAAGCACTAGGAGACCTCGGGTCAATATGCATGTAGCTCGGTAGGGCCGATAAGGCACGTACGAGCATGGGGTCACCGAAACAACTTCTCAAACTTGTATAAATCGCAATGGTTGAGTGTTATACATCAAAAATACTGGGTAAAGATGCTAATATGCTGACTTATACTTGCATGCATAACAAAATGGCTCGGAGGTGAAAAATGGGCTAAAAATCGACTACTAGATGACCGATCACCCTTACTTATTTTAAGAAATTGTTTTTAACCCCATATTACTCATGATTTATAAGGATTTTTAAGCACAAGAAATCGTCCTAAACATGCATGCAACGAAAAGTACGATTTTAAGGCTTTAAACTTCAAAAATCCGAAACTCATATTCTACCCGAGCAAAACATGATTTCTCTACATGATAAATCTTAAAATATCACAAAATAGCCATAGATAAAAGATGGCTCGGGCTAACCTTCGCCGAAGGATGAAAATTGGGGCACAAGTCCTTGCTCGTGCCTACTCGGGGCTTACTCGGGCTTTGGCTTGCCCGGGGACTAATGGCTGGGCTATGATGGATTGAGGAGGCTTAGAAATGTCCAAAGAATACTTTTATGCTGATGGACCTCGGTGGAAAATGGTTGGAACAAGCAAGAGCTCGGTGCTCCCTTTTTCGTGGCCTTGCGCGCATGTGATGCAAGATAGGTTCCCCTTGGCACTTCTCCTCACTTCTCTCTATTTTGCTGAGCTTTAGGTTGTCTAAGAGCTTAATATGAGCTGAGAAATGTGGTTTATATGGCTAGGGGGCGGAGGTTGCAAGGAGGGCTCAAAGGAGACAAATTTCAAGGTCTTAGGTGCATGGAAACTTGGTGTGGGTGGTCTTGGACTGACTTAGCACGAATCTAGCATGGTTTTGAGAGCCTTTTGGCAGGGAACAAGGTCTGGTATGGCAGCACTAAGGACAAGGGGACAAGACTTACACATGTGCATTAAAATAATGCATGCACATGCACCTACTTTAGCTAAGAACAAATTAACTTGCCTTAAATATTATTAAGGCAATCTTAGGCTTAAATAATCCTTAATCTACCTGAAAATAATCACAAGGTCTTTGATTTGGAGAAAAATGGGACAAAACATAGGAAATGGGGCTCGGAAGGTGGCTGGCCGCTGGAGCCTGGGCGCTGTCTGCGCGCGCTGGGCGCTGCGGGCGTGCTGCCTACGCTGCTGTGCGCGCTGCTGCGCGGTGATGCGGAAGTGGGTTCCGAGCCCCCACGACAAGAAGGGCCAAGAGCCGAGATAACCCGAGGAGGCTGAAAATAGGGCCAAAACGACGCGCGCATGGCCTAAGAGACGGGTACGAGCACGTATGCGAGGAACACAAGTACACAAAACAGGGCGCATTCAAGAAGGGCGCGCACACGCGCATTGGCGTAGACGCGCATGGCGTTTGGAAGTTAGGCGAAGTAGCGCGCAGGGGGTGGATGTTGGGAGGTTGATGCGCGCGAGGAATTGTTGTAGTGAGACGAGCGAGCGATGGGCGCTGGGTGAGGCATCGCTGGTTGATGGCGCGCATGGGCGCGCGGTAGGAGATTAGGGCACGACCGAGGACCGAATAGGAGTAGGAGTGCTGGGCGCAACGCGCGAGACGCGGGGGCACGGCGCGAATAGGACGGGGGCAGGTGGCGTGCGCGACAAGCGCGCGATGGGCGAGGACGCACCAATCGGCGCGAGAGCAATTGGCGGGCGCGGTAATCGCGCACGTGGGAAGCCGACGCCCAGGATTCCTAGGCGGGGCAGGA